ATTGAGCTAAAATTTCATGTCTACCTTGTGTATTTCTCCTATGGAATACCATATGTATGCGATGGACTCATTACAATACCACCACATATTTCTGGTAATTAATTGCAGCACACACACATTGATTCAATATAGACATCTAAAGCAGCAACAATGACTAGTCGAAAAAATTACTGAGTGAAAGTCCAGAGAAAGAGCAATGTGTAAAGTAGGATCTTTCGTACTCCTCTCGCAAGTAAATCAGAATTGGTTTATCCTACCAAATCTCAAGGTTTCTTTTGTGTGTTATCTGCTCTTATGAGATGTAATGTAAATCGACAAATTAAGAGACAGCTTAAACGATGCGTGGTCGTAGGAAGAACAAGATTTAGGAAAGACAAACTCAAGAAGTGATAAAAAGCCAATTTTTTGGAGGAGAATAATTTACGACCTCCAATGATTGCAAAAGAGAGGTCAAAAAAGTGATTCTAACATTCAAACAATGAACGCAAATTGATAACTACCTTAGGTTGGTTTCTGCCTTTATTATCCACAACACTGTCCAATTCACCAATGCTAACAGGTATACGATAGCCAATATCTCCACTGTCGATTCGCTCAGCTAATTCATCCTAAAAGTCAGTATCAATCAAGTACTAGATCGAAATCTATTTTCGAGCAGTTTATTTGTTGTGTAGAAACCGAAAAAAACGCACTTCATCTATATCGTCCGTGGGCGGCGGTAATTGCTCACAGTGGCAAACATTTAGAAAACATCTATGTTCTTCTGTTTCACCGTACACCTCTTTCATATCCACCTGAAATAGAGCACTACAAGATGAAATTTGTAAGAAAATATTTGCGTATTAGACTAAAGTAGAAAATTAGTTCAATAACAACTGATTCACGACCAAATTTCCTGAATAAATGAAAATTTTTGAATATGATTAATCGTTCGTAATAGATATATTCGAAGAATGAACAGTAGTCGAATCGCCATCTGAAATACATGAATCTTAATATTCGAATAGTGGGGATTCTGGAAATTCGACTATTCGAACCATCGAGTAATTGGGAATTACCGAGTCTTCGAATACTCGAATGGGTAAATACATTTTTTCGAATATATGGCCGTAGAGTTTTAAAACAATCGAGCGCTTCATTCTTACATCAAAAATTCAACCTCAACATATTTGATCGCCTCGAATATTTAGATATCGATGGTGCGAAATTCGCAACTATTTAGATTGAATAGATATTTTTTTCAGCTCGATCGCCGGATATTCGAGTTACAAAGTGTTCGAATATTTTATTCTAAGATTATTCTTCCTCAAACATAATAATATTCATGACCATGCAAGCTACTACTACAAGTGCATTTTTCAGAAACTTCGTCACC